TCATATTCCAATAACCACTTTTAGTATCGGTACTCATGGGAGTATTAATACCGAGAGTAAAGTATCGATACTCCCTAATAGGGGTATCGATACTTAGGTTAAACATCGAAGTCAGATTTGCTCTTGATACCTAAGAAATTATCGATACCATAAATTAGAAGTATCCATACTCAAACTAGAGTATCGATACTAGCCCTTTTACTATCAACATTCAATAAGTTAGTAGTATCAATACCAAGAGGGTAGAATTTATACCCAAAGGTCAATATCGATATTAAAGGTCTTAGTATCGGTACCACGAACAGTTTTGGGTAAGAAACTCAAGGGTTTAAAGGGATATATTTGATGGACCAATAATACCAAAACGCCATGAAATAAAACGAAAAGCGAGAACAATAATAAACTCAGAACAATTAGAAACAATAACAGTTAGGATGACATAAAACTAGCATTACTTGATGCTCGGGACACAATCAGGACACCGAGTTACTTTAGCAGATAACGATCATACAATTCATATATCCCAATTAGTGTCAACTACCAGCTAGACCCAGATGCCCCAAGACTCGATGAAGTAAGTTGTTTGGGTGTACGTTTCTGATACAGTTCTGGATCTCACCCCAAATACCCAATGGTATTTTAGGAAGGCTAGAGGAATGTGCGCTCTGAGATGTATAACCCTCAACCACACCATGATGTTTAGATCAACATATTATATCAGTGCATATGTCTTCATACGTAGGCCTCTAACATGCACATTTAGTGAATGTATATAGTATAGTACAATTATTAGTGAGGCATTGAGCTCATAAGATAAACGTTCAAAATGTGTTTCCGTGCGTAGGTTCTTAAGAGATCATTCATAGAGCATTATCGTCGCCATATATTCCAACTGAGCAGAGACTTCATAGTACATCTTAATTTGTATTAGAGGGCATATACTATTATAGACCCTTTTTGTAACATCCTAAATCAAAATCAGTGACTAAATTACAAATTTTGAAAACTATGTGCTCGATTTCAAAATAAGTTAAAATTTCATGGATTTAATTGAAGAATTTTGATGTTGGATTTAATAGTAAAGTTGGAAAGTAACAAGGGTATTATGATCTTTTCTAAGAGAAGATTTTTATTCTCTTTTTAAGGGATATAAAAACGTGGGAAATGAGGAAATGTATCCAGAGTCTTCTTCTTCAGCTTCTTCTTCTCCTCGTAAGCCTCTGTTAAAGGTGAGTTTAATTTCAACTATTTAATTCTTGGATTTATAAGTTGATTTTGATTCTTTGAGTATTATATAAGCTTAAGGAAAGCTTATATAAGCTTTAAACATCAAGAATAGAGAATTAAAAAGGAAATTATATGAAGGGTGTAGAAATGAACTTTTGTTATAGAAAGGTTTTTGAAGTTCTAAAGATGTGACTTGTCAAAGGGTTAATTAAGAAGTTAGAAGTGATAGAATTGAATTTATAACACATGAAAAATTTGATGAAATTCTTTGATTCAAGAATTATGGTGAATTATGAGAGATGGTGAAGAGTTATAGTGTTATAAGAAGATTTACATATGTATAGATAAGTTTTAAGGCATAAGAAGGGGTTGATAAGTAGAATTGGAAGGCAAAGTAAGACATTTCGTGCTCAAAATGGAATTTATGGGTTGTGTGCATCGATGCATCTTCAATGTGTGTTGATGCACTCTCAATTAAAAAAGCATCAAATGTAATTCGTGCATCGATACATAAGGAGTGCATCGATGCATAAGGAGTGCATTGATGCATCCCCTTAAAATGGAAACATTGAATGTAAATTGTGTACCAATGCATGGGTAGTGCATCGATGCATATGTTAAGGGATGCATCAATACATTGTAGAATGTATCGATGCACTACAATAGAAATGGAATAAATCTTTCTTTCAGTCTAAGAAATGATAGATTATAGTATATCTATTGGATACTGATAGTATAAATACATGATTGTGTATATATCGAGCACGAACAAGTTCCGGAACGATTATCAAGTTAAGATTCGATCGAAAGAAAATAAATCAAAAGGGGATTAGAACTTAGTGAGGCCAAGGTGAGTGCATATTAGATAGTATATAATATTTAATGGAAATAAGACTTGTGGCAAGTCTATTTCCTATAGTATTATGTATGGATTCATGAACATGAGCATATATTTGTTATGAGTTATATGTTATTGTATGTGTGATATGATTTGTATGAATATATGTTAGTGTGATAAGACATATGAACTGATATAAGTGACATATATGTCACATAAGCTATATGATATACATATGAACATAAGTAAACAAGACAAGACATATGTGCTTACATAAGAACATGAGAAATAAAATAAACAATGTGATAAGGAAATAAATAATGAAATGAATATGTAGTAATTAGATTATATGAACAAATACTGTTGATAGGGCTCATAAGACTAAAGATATATCTTTTAATGTAATAAAGTGAAATAAGTCAAATGATATTGAAGTATGTGAATATAGTATATATGATATAAAAGTGCATATGTGAAATGGCATGATAGGGATAAAAATAGTGAGCTTACATGTTATGTGATATGAATATGATATATGTGATGTATGGGAAACATATGAACACAAGAGAAATGTTATAAGCTATGTGATTAAATGAGAAATGATATGAGCACATGTATATGTGATTATAAATGACAGGAATATGAGAAAAGGTATATGTGATATGTGAATTATATGGAAGTGAACTACGTGACTATGTGATCATATGCAATGTGATAAGAAGCTATGTGCCTATGTGATAAGAATATGTGAAATAATATAAAGAAAATGCCCATGTTATGTGTTATGAGATCTAGAGATATAGTTGGCATGCCAAGAGTCGAGGGTTCTACGTGGTCCTTCAGGACATAGTGGTCCTACGGGACATATGTGTTCTACGTGGTCCTTCGGGACATAGTGGTCCTACAGGACAAAATTCTACGCGCCCCTAGTGAGAATTATACGAGTTGTGGTGACAGTATAGTGCACAACCTTTATGTACTCACGTATCTTTAGCTCTCAATAATGTACATGGGCTAAATAAGAGATAATATTAATAAACTTGATATGATGATATGTTTGTTCTCTTGTGAAATGATATGTGCGATAAATGATTTTTCAAATGGTAATTATAAGATCATATGATAAAAAGGAATCAATGATAGTGATAAGAATAATGATGATGATATAGTTGCTTGTGTGTATGGGTTTTATAATAGGATATATGTTTTACATAACATGATGATATAATAACAAGTCTATAAGAGATATAATTGTTTAGGGTAAAGTACACATTTAGTACCTAAACTATCGGTTTTGGTCAATTTTAGTACCTAAACTATCAGTTTTTTCAAAACCATACCTAACGTTTAATTTTCATTTCATTTTAGTACTCACCATTAAAAAAATTAACACGTTTATTTCCTAAACTATGAATTTTTTATCCATTTTAGTTCCTAAACTTTTAATTTTTTCCAAAATTTAACGTTAAATTTTAAATAGATGTACTAAAATGAAACAAAAAATAATTTTTAACGATGAGATACTAATATGAAACAAAAACTAAATTTTAAGTATGATTTTGAAAAAAAATGAAAGTTTAGAAATTAAAATAGACAAAAATGATAATTTTGATACTAAAAGCATAATTTGCCCTAATTTTTATGGCAATGCTCTCTGCTAGAGGTGGCAAACGGGTCATTCGGATTGGGTTTGGGTCGGGTCATTTTGGGTCGGGTTATTTCGAGTCTAGATCATATTTGGTTTAATTTTGTTCGGGTCGGATCGAATTTGGTTCGGATCTAGTTCGGGTATGGTAAATCGGATCAGGTCAATTTTTGGGTCGGGTGATTATCAGAACAGTTGTTTTTCGATTTAGATCAATATCGGATCGGTTGATTTTTGGGTCGGGTCAATATCAGATCAGTTGATTTTTAGATCGGGTTAACAACAGATCGTTTAGATTTTGGGTCGAGTCAATATAAGATCGGTTGATTTTCAGTTTGGGTCAACATTTAGATTAGATCAATTAAGTTGAATTAGTTATGAATCTAATCAAGTATATATATAATTATTGATATATTCTTGTAAAAATATGTCTTCTTGTTTGTTAATCTTATTATTTAGGCCTAATTTTAATTCTCAATCATTCACTATTTTGAATTAAACCATCATTTATAGATGAAAAATCGATAATTTGACACAAATAAGATCCTATAATGCGTGTTAGAGCTTGTTATCAAAATTTTATATTGATATTGTATGAAAAGCTTATCTATTTGATAAAGAAATAATTTTTATTTCCAATTATAAATTTAATATTTTTATTAATTTTTTAATATATTTTAATTATTATATATAACTTTATTAAGTTAAGTTTTATCTATAATTATTTTTGTTTTTTCTATTATTTTTTTATTATTAATCTAATGTTTTTTTATTACAAGATAAGTAAACTTAATTTGTTATTATTTTCAATCTTACAATAAGATTCTTATTTTTATATTCCTTTAATGTAACATAAGTAAACATCTATTATTTTTATTAAATATAATATTTTTATTACAAGTAAGATAAGTAAACTTTATTTGTTACTTTAGGTTCGGATTAATTTCGATACATGTTACTTTCAATTTGGGTTAATTTCAGTTTGAGTTGCCTTCGATTTCGCTAAATTTTAGATCGAGTATGGCTCAAGTCGGGTACCATATCACATTTGATTATCAAGTTCGAGTTAATATAAGATATTGAGTCTGGTAAATCGGCTCGGGTAATCGGGTTCAGGAAGTCTACTCTCAACTACTATGCTTGTAGGTATACAGTCGTAATGCCTGTTCGATGATTGTAGCTCCAATACAATAGTATTATGCTCCTCCTATATCAGTTAACCAATTTCTTTTTGAACACAAAAATATTTAATTCTTGGATCACTTGTCTTTTGTTCCACAACTCGTACATAACTTCCCACATAAATGTCTAATAAACATCAAATACATAAAATTTTGGCTATCACTGTCAAAACAGTCTTCAAGGATTATGCAAATCATTACTTAAGCATCCTCAAGGAGATAAAGTTTTTCTATTCATCATCACTGTCATTCCCGAAAAGGGAAGCAACAGGTACTTTTGGTTTCTTCGCCGCACTGCTCGATGCATTCTGCAAAACGAGGGGACAAACGAAGTTAAATTAGGTGGTCACAATCATATTCATAGGCAAACTCGAGTGAAAGTTTAAAATTGACAGCGGATTAAGGATTCAATGACGTACATATATGCACTGAAACACAGTTGGAGTTGATAGGTGAGATGTTGGTGCCTGAGGTAGAAAGTAACGCCAATTGCCACCTTATCAATGTGACCAAGGACAATGCATTCTCACACAAGTTAAAAGAAGCGGAGGAAATGGGAATAGATTCTAAAGCTATGGACAGAAAGAGGCGATTAACGAAAAAACTCTTGGGCAACATGAACAGAGAGACAAAAGGTTTGGAGAAAGCAGTTCAACTAGTCATTAAAGTAGGCAAGAAAAATTAATTTCAGATAGCCATATTCTTTTCCTACAAATCACATGCATATTATGAATTTATATTAAGTCAGAATTGTCTTCAGTATTCAACAATAAAACCTGGTACCTTAAAAAATATATGTTCTTATATGCATACTCATGGACGTATAATAATCAAATAAGCAGGTTATTGGTAACCTCTACCTCAGTACCTCTCGTGCACACATAAAGTGTTACCCTATAGTCACATACCTTAGAACTGCTGCTTTTAGAAGAAAAACCAACACGTCTTTCGCTGATCCTGATCAGCAAGTGCAGTAGCAGCACCAGGAGCAGGTGCAGTGGCGGGCCCAGATTTCTCCTGTAACTCCTGCTGCTGCTGCTGTTTACACGCACCAGCCCTATATCACATTAAAGAATAGAAAATAAAACGACATAAAATGGTTAGCAAATGTATTTCAAAAATTATTTCAAAAACCATGGAGATACAAAAGCTCAATTAATTAGATACATTTGAGCAAACTTAGCCATCTCTCTTTCCTGAAGTTGCTGCTCCCGCTTTTGTCTATCATCACGACTGCTACTTCCGTGCATTTCTCGCATTTCTTGAAAGCGCTGCTGATACAAAAGCTCAGTTAATTAGAAAACATTGAAAACAACCTAAAGATCGAAAGAAGAGGTTGGAAAAGGGGCAGTGAAGGTGTGTATATGGATGGATTTGATGAAGAGGATTGGGCCATTTACCTTTCTGTGGTTGTGATCATATGAACTCAGATGGGCCTCAAATTCCATAGCCAATTTGTACTGCTTGTTGCAAAGCTCACAATAGAACACCTTGCATATTTCTTTCACCTCCGTTTGAATTTTCAGCTCACGTTCTGCTAACACCTGGATTTTCATAATGTGCACGAAGCAGGCAGTAGAAGCCACCAGGTAACTGCATGTAACTGACAAAAGCTTCCAAGGTTGATGTTCCCCTATGATATACCATTCCGATCAAAAGACACACATATATGCTATATGCTGCCTTCTGCCTTCTGCCAACTGAAACTTAAAGTGATCATCTATGAGTGAAAAGTCATACTTCTCTCTTCTTCACATGTTCCTCGGTCTCCTCAACCTCAATATCAAGTTTCCTACGTTGGATATTTTCTTCAGCGGTGAAGAAATCATCTTCTTCTTGTTTTCCAATCCCTAATTTTGGATCTTTTATCCCAGATCTTATAGGCTCAGTTATTCCTGTGAACAAGAAAATAGTTGGTTAATGATAAATAAATAACTTTGAGCATGTAATGAAAAGCAAGTCAGGATTTCAAGTAACCAAAAATAAGAAGGCCAAACAAATGAGTCAATAAAATCATGTCAAAACCTAACAAGAACTATTGGAGAATATCACGTCCAGTATTTGAAAAATAATCAGAGCAGTATTAAAGAATTACTCTAATTCATAGGTACAATTCCAGTAAGTTCTTGCTAAATTCCAGTTTCACATTATTTATCCTGGAATATATTCCTGTCCAGCTAGTTAAAAGCCAAATAAAAAATGACCCATAATGCATCACGAAAATGCAGCAACATACCCTGTTCATCCTTCCCAAGACCTTTTCCTTTCCAACCCAATTTTTGAAGAAGTCTAAACCCAACATTTGAAGAATTCAACCTTGTATCCAGGGTTGCTTGTTGCACATTATCCAGATCAACATTCTCTGTTGGCTTGTGATTAATTGGCAAACGAAAATCTTCGGCCAAATCCTCAATAAGTGACTCTTCGTATGCCTATGCCAGAAAGTACAGACGATAGAGCTCAATACATCAACAATCATAAAGCTTGACTACAAAGTGAGCAGATATATCAAAAAAGTGATTGTATCTTTACAAGTAATGAACTATTGTAAGAATACTCTGAAATGTTTTCTCAAGGAAAGGGGTTAGACAAGTCAGTTGATTTCTCAATTATAACTTCTTAAACCAGAAAAAGTAGAACAGTGATTGAAGAGATTCATCCCAAGTATAAACGAATTGAAACAGATGATCAGTCATAGATATTAGGTTGCCTACTTGCTCATCTTGATTTTGTCGTTTATTTCCAACGTTTGCCTCCTGAGAACTGTTGAATTGTCGGTAGTCCATTTCGTACCACCTAGACCATGACAGATTAATTAAAAAAAAGGTTAGTCAGTTAATCAATCACGTCATTAGTGGAAGAAATGCGTGAGGGAATAATGACAAAATATTCAAGTTCCGGCAAACATTTTGTTGAGCGATCAAATAGAGCAGAAAAACAGGTTTGAGGGTTCCAATAAGCATTCGGAGGCGATTAATTGAGCAAGTCGAAGACCCATTCTGGGATTGGGGTTTCTATTTAAAGAGATTCAATTTCCAAGCTGACAGAAGCATCACAAAGCAAGAATCATTATCAAACAGAAAAAAAATAAGCAACCAAAAGACCATGAGAAAGAAGATTGAACCAGATCCCACAGCCTCTCCGGCTCCCACAAATATATATGTGTATAGCAAGAACATAACGTATCTTAGTGAAAAGGAAATAGATAACGAAGAAGAAGAAAGAATTGCTTCGGTACTAGTAAAATCCGCACAAACTCAAATAACAGAAAAACGGGTAGGAATTACATATATCAAACAAAAACAATAATCACACGAGAAAAGGAAAAGGCGATACTGGAACAGATGAAGATAGGGCAACAGGCGCTGGTGAGATGAGATCTTTTCTCTTCTTCTTCAGCTATGCACCTTCAGCTTGACATTCACCTCGGCAGGATATTGAATAATGTGTAAAGCAAGTACTCGGTTAGATTTCTTAGTTGATGGCAAAATGAGCTTGAGCAGCATTACCCTATGTCTTTGGGCTCTGCTATACTGGATAATGATTCGAACAAATCTCTGTTGTCTTAGGCCCAAAAACATATGGTTATTAAATTAAGCCCAGACAGTAACCTATCCTAGATTCTAGGGTAAATTACGCTTATAGTATCTAAAATGTCATTTTAAGTATGTTTAGTTTTTGTTTTATTTTAGTGTTTCACTTTTAAAAATTTTAGTTTATGCTTCATTTTAGTATCCGTTCAAAATTTAATGTTAAGTTTTAAAATTTTTAAAATTTTATATACTAAAATAGTTCAAAACTGATAGTTTATATGTACTAAACACGTTAAGTTTTTAATGGCGAGCACTAAAATAAAATAAAAATTAAACGTTATGTATGATTTCAAAATAATTAAAAGTTTAAGTATTAAAACATATCAAAATTAATAGTTTAGATACTAAATACATAATTTACCCCAAATTCTATCAATTTTGATCTGAATTCAAAAGGCAAAAGAGTACTTGAGGCTCTTGTACTTTTCAAAAAAAAAACAATGTCACTCTCCTTTTTTTTCCCACTCAATGTAATCCTTCAAGTCAGAAAAAAAAAACTCAACGCGATCCTTTGACCAATATATTTCGTCTTTGACCAATGGTTCTGTTATTATGTGCTGATGTGGACGTCAAACAACTCAACCCTCCGTTTAATGTTATTATAAATTAGGTAAATTGTGTCATTAATCATTCAACTATTATCTATCTTCTATTTTGGTTACTAAAATTTAAATATTTTTAATTTAATCACTCAGCTTTGAATTACTCACATTTTAATCACCATAACTTATTTTATTGTTATTTTATTAATTAAATTAAATTAAAATTTCAAAATTATATGTAAATCCTAAATAACAACCCCACCTCCATCGTCACCCTCACCATTACCAGCCTCTCCGATCAACCCCGTTCTTTCCGACTACCATTCATCCACCAACGTTTCGCCTCTTCCGATATTGACTTGTTGCAGAAGACCCTTGTAATCCATTGTTGGAATGAATTCCACCATTTTCATGGAAACCCGAAAGCCTCATCGTGTTATCGTTTGTTGCATTTATGTTTAAACCACCAAACGGATGAGCAGTGCTCATCTTCAAAGCTGCCAAAAAAATGCAACCCTCTTTGTTTCAATTATTTTATTAAAAAATAATTATTTCAGCACTCTTTGCTTGTACAAGTTTAATCTGTTCTTCACCCATATATCCCTTTGCCCCAAGCTCTCTCTCAACCCATATGTCGCTCTGCTTTTAAATTCAACTACCACAACCACCTCACCAGCGTCGCTTAGTATCCTTTGCCTTGCTCCAGACGGCGGAGCAAAAGCTGACGGTGGAGATGGACCATATGCCTCCTCGTGGAGTTCACCATCGGCGAGCCCACTACGATACAACTTTCCGTTTCGACGATCTTCTCCTCTCTGACCCTTCCGATCACGATCTTTCTTCCCTTGACCTCCCAGCTTCCACCTCCAATCCCGCTCCGCCCGTCATCTTCAAAGCTGCCAAGTTTTATTAAAAGTAAAACTTGTACAAGTCAATATCCACTATCTCTGCAAAAACAAATGGGGCTTTCGGGTTTCCATCGAAATGGTGAAAGACATGGCTTTGACAGGTCGAAGAAAAGCAAAAAAGGGATAATTAAAAATTGAAAAAATTGGGGATGAACCAAAGAACCCAGATTAAGTGATGATTAAAATAGTAGTAATTCAAAAGTTGAGTGATTAAATTAAAAATATTTAAAGTTTAGTGACCAAAAGAAAAGAGAGAAGATAGTTGAATGATTAATCATAAAATTTACTCTATTTATAATAACATCAAACGGAGGATTAAACTGTTTGACATGTCACGTCAGCACAAAATAACGGAATCGTTTGTTAATGACGGAAAACATTGATCAATGGACTACATGATGTTTTTTTTTCTTACTTGAAAGGTCACATTAAGTGTAAAAAATGAAGGACCATATTGATATTTTTTTAAAATACGAGAGCTTCATATAACCTTTTGTCAATTCAAAATCTAACCTGATCAACTTAAATCTAATTTTATCTAAATTTAGTGTTAAAAGTTTAAAATTTTAAAGTTTATTTTAAAAATAAGTAATTAAAGTATATCATTTTCTACAACTTAATTAAAAAATAAGTTTAGAAATTATACCTTTTGTTTGGTTTAGTTCTATAATATTTATTTTTTTATTATTCAAGATTTCTGTAGTTTTATTTTATTACCATTTTAAGAACTCAATTACTGTTTAAAATTTTATCAGTAAATATTATACTAATATTTAATTAATATTAATTTTTTGAAAATAAAATACTAAATTTTAAGATTTAAAAAAATATAAATTTTATATATTTTAAAAAATAAAATCCCCTTAAATGGTCAAAATATCAAGCGATGAGCAGAGATTCGAGGCTCGGACTACAGCTTCACTAATGACGGTGAATATGTGATTGTTGAGTAAAAAAAATGATCTCGTGTGACGTGGCTACCAACTAAGTGCTACAATTGATCGGTTAGAGTTAGACATCAGAAAAATAATCAATGATTCGACGATGAGATATACAATTTAAATATTTAAAAAATAATTAATAAATACCATTTTTTTAATAATTGAAACACAAACTTTAAATCTTAAAATCCGATCCACGATGATAAGTAAAAATAATTTTAAAACTCAAATTTATTTAATACAAATTCAACTGATTTAAAGCCAACTTGCGTGTATAATTTATAAACCCACCAATAAGTTGAGAAGATGCTTTTGTGGTTTCAATTATCAAAACACTAGTTACCCACAACCAAACAAAAGCAATGGATTGGAAGGTAAGCTAAGGTGAATTCTTCTACAGGCTACAGGTATAGTTACACACAGTATGCCAAGTTGCCAATCATTTTAATTCTCGGCAATGGAAAATGGCCATGCTATGGAACAAATACAGGCAAAGACCCAAGAAAATGGGGTACTTCTCTCCCAACCATTGCTTTTTTTTTCCGAGTCAAACAGAGCGAGAAACGGACCACACCACATGGGATGTATTTTGTATTTTGAAGTCTTAACTCCACATCCCCATGCATCTGACCCTACACGTGTCCTCGCCCACCCCTAGGGTACCCCCTATAAAAGGACACCCTCATACCCAAACTCTGACAGACTGCACTGCAAAACTCATCCCCCCCTAAAACACATAGCTATTATGGGTGGGAACAAGCACAGGAAGAGCTTCTCCTCCTTGTTCAGTTTCTTCAAAGCAAAGAAGGGTCGTAGAGAGCAAGAGTATTATTATGGTGGTGAAGATGTTTGGGGCACCAGGAAAGTGTATCCCAGCGACGAAGACAACACTCTCCGGGTGGTTGCCGAGCCTGGCATCGACAAGAAAGCTTCGGCTTTTATAGCTAATTTCCATGCAACTCGTGTCTCCGAGGCCATTCATCATCAACAAGCAAGCTGAAGAAAAGACGCGATGCCCCTCACTGCGCTCATGTCCAACACTTTTTCTCCTCCAGCTATCATCTTTCTTTCTTTCTTTCTTGTCTTGTGAGACAGCCAATTGTTATATCAGTTGTTAATAGTCTGTGAATGAGAAATAAAACATTATGTGGATTCTTATAGCCCAAACTGCTCTTCTTCTATGAATGGTTGTTTTCTTCTTTGACACCAAATGCAGACTATCCAGTATCCAGCAAGTACTCTCTGCTTTCTTTCACTTGTTTACTCAAATATTAATTGATTCTACACACATATATACCAAATGTAGGGTCTTTGGGTTTGGATTTACATCAATAATTGTTAGGAATCCAATAGAAATAAAGAAACTATGCTTTGTATTTCAAACTCAATCAATCTGAGTGATGTACAATGATGTTGTTGTTTATATACAACTTCAATATGCTATTTTATGCTTAACAGACTCCTTAACTGACTTTAACAACCTAAACTGACTGACTAACTACTCAATTAAAATACCATGTAAGCTATAGTAGTGCGAGCAGCAGCACGTGCATGATGCTTATACATCATGCTAACATTCCCTCTACTTCTTCTTCTTCTCTTCTACATTTTAACCCTAAACAATTGAAAAGATGAACAATTGAATCGAAAGTGCTGATACTTTTTTCCGTTCACTTGAATCGAAAGTGCCGATGCTTCCTTCCATTCTTCTTATTCACCTTCATTTCTTTCTTCTTCACCTTCTTTTGCAAGGTTCCTTGACATTTTTTATGGACTCTTGGCTGTAAAACTTTCAAGTCCCATGACACTTTAAGATATAAGCAACAAAATGAATACAAAATTAAACTTCTGTTTAAACACAGAAAAGAATTATACTACTATGCAGAAACAACATCATTGGTCTCCAGTGTACCCATTTCTTCTAACATTTTCATATGCTCTAAAAACCCATCATTAGGGCACACAAACTCGTAACTTAGCTTTAGAGATTCAAGGGCACCTTCTTGAGATAGTTGCTGGATTCTCATCAAATATGCCATAATTATAGCCTCACTTCTTGACACTCCAGCAAAGCAATGCACCAAAATAGATCCCTCTTTTCTACTTTGACAAATGAAACCAAGACTTGTGTCTAGGTAATCCAACAAATTCTTCCTCTCCATATCTCTAATTGGCACTGCTATTCTCACTAGTTTCAAATCCTTCCTTGCATATTCCAACAAGTACAACAGCTTCTGGGGTGCCAAAGAACTCTTAGAATCATCATGTGAATGATTCGCGGGAGCTGTAGTATCATGAGACCCACCTACATATACCTTTTTAATTTCCTTGGTAGGGATTGTGAAACCGCTACGTTATTCAGAGAAAAACGATATTGATGCAGAGCTCAAAACAGATAGAATGTGCGTGATCTCTGTGCTACCATTTTGCAAAACTTCAGCATTTGATTTCTTGACGGATTCGATCTCGACGCCGGCTCGATGGGCGGCGTTGACGACTTTCTCATCCTCTTCCATGCAGCGAAAGAACAAATGAAGTCAGGACTATTTGGCTCTGATACCATGTTAGGAATCCAATAGAAATGAAGAAATTATACTTTGTATTTCATACTCAATCAATTTGAGTGATGTACAGTGATGTTGTTGTTTATATACAATTTCAAGATGCTAGCTTATGCTTAACAGACTCCTTAACTGACTTTAAAAACCTAAACTGACTGACTAACAACCTCTGCTAACTACTCAACTAACATACCATGTAAGCTATAGTAGTACGAGCAGCAACACGTGCATGATGCTTATACATCATGCTAACAATAATAAAACTGATTTTTAAAAGTTAAAATAGAAGTGGATAACTCTATATGATCGCTGCAGGGGATAGAGTTGATGCATGTGATAATCCATTGGTCTAATTAAGTGCACATGTTAAGAAAAAAAATGTTCTGTAGTCTTATTACCAAACAAATACCTGTTGGGAGCTTTCTAATAGTGATGAGCATGGAGTTTCTTAAACTTGGAAACAAATGGTAATTTCAATCGGGATCAGGTACAATCGTTCGTATTTAGGAGGGATACATGAATTTATACTAGCTTTAATAATTTCGAGTAACGATTTTATAAAATTTTATCAATAAGAATATAAAATAATAGTTAAATTATATGATAATTAAAATTTTAAAAGGATGACTCCAAACCACCCTTCAATTTATACCTATTCATATCAATATCAATATCATAGTTTGAAAGGGAAGAAAAAGTTACAAATTGAAGATATGTTTTTGGCAAGGGATCAAGAAAGCACTTAAAATTTTGAGGAAAAAAGTAATTTTTCTTTAGCTAATTAAGGTCGTTTGTGAATGTTTATGTAAGGTTTTTAAAATAAAAAAATATGTTTAGAACGTAAAAATAATTCTAAATATCCCATTTCCAGTCGAAAATTTATATTTAAAAAGTGATTATCGACTCAAACCATGATATTGAGAATACAATGCTTTTGAGTTGGAAAATTCGTTTGGAGAAATGTTTTAATTAAAATATAATATGGTCTTTGAATAAAATTAACTTTAATTAATAGTAATTTTTTTTAAATATTTTATCGCATGTCACAATGAGATGATACCATAAGAAAATTTTAAGATATGTTTAATTTTTATTCTAAAATTTTAAAATGGTCAAATGACAATATCAAAGTGTATCATATGACGAATAATTTAAAATCATTAAAATTTAATGATTAAATTTAATAATTTAATTGATAAAATTTATTAATTTAAAGTTTTAATTCATTTAATTTCTCATTATAAAAAAATTAATTAAATTTAAAAGAAATTTAAAGACTGAATCACTTTTTTTAAAAAATTAGGTACATTCTACACTATGAATTAGGGATGGATTGAAGGAATGAAAGGGGTCAATTACTCTCCTCAAAATTTAAAATTTATTATATTTTAAATTATTTTTTATATATTTTCTATTAAAAATTTATTTTCATCTACTAAAATTTTATAAATTTAAGTTTACTTCCTTAAAATTTTAAAAAACTTAAATTCATTCATCTAATATAAAATTTTGTGTATATACGGCCACGGTATACCTATGTTCTCCCTCCCCCAGATTTTAATTGATTAAGCTTTGATGTGAGTACAGCATCTATAAAACAATGGGTACCTCCTGCTGCATGCATGTCGTGGAATCTGACAAATCTCCACAAACAGGGGTTGTGGCTTGTTCCTAACAATAATTATTATACCATATGTTGTACACACACATCATTTCACTTCTCATTTCAAATTAGAACATAGTAGAGGGACCAGAACCACAATTTAACTAAACATTCCAGGCATCACGAGTCACGTCCTTTTCTCTATTCTTTATTCCATTTAGGTTTTAGCTTTGTACTACAAATATAATATTTTCATGGACAAATATATATTCCAATTGTTTTTTTAATGACAATTTGGAAACTAATAGTACTGTCAGGCACTCGAAGAACCAACGGCGATGGGTCGACCTGAAAAACAAGTCCCAAAAAGAATGTGCATTGGCATCCAGCCTTGAGCCAATTCCTAGCGAAATGCATGCCTTTAGAATCTCTTCGGCCTTTTGCACTTTGCCAGTAGGGTTGATTGTCCCCCATTTGTCTTCCAGAAAGTGTATATATATATATATATATATATATATATATATATATATATGAAAACACTTTTTTCATTTTTTTAATGAGTAGAATTGTTTGGAAACAAATACAGGATGCTTCAATAAAAGCAAATACTGTTGGAAATAAAACACTCACACAAACAATTTTTATTGAAACTCAAACAAATATTACAAGAGCACTCTCACTCAAAAACAAGAACTACAACTCACTCTTATAAGACTTTGCTTCTTCACTCACTTAGAAGCTCTTAATTTTTCTTGATGCTTAAAACTAAAATGGGAAGGGGTATTTATACTACTCAAGAACAATCCTACACCACACAAATAAACTAATTTAAACCATTATAAATTCAACAAATATCTAACTCTCACCTAACTAAATTGATGTAAGCAATGACATCATTACTTAAATGATGTAAGCAATGACATCTTTAATTAAATGATGTAAGTAATGACATCAATTTAGTTTGTGTTTGGGTTTAGGCTCCCATAATGGATCAAGTTTATGATCCAACACCCCCCCTTAAACTTGATCTCGTGACCCCTAGTAGGTTCCTTAATCTTAAGAAGTCTTCGCTGGTCAGTGGCTTGGTAAAAATATCAGCAACTTGATCTTGTGACTTCATGTATTCAACTTCCACATCTTTTCTTGCAACACACTCCCTTATATAGTGGTAGCGAATATCAATGTGCTTGCTTCGATCATGGAATACTGGATTCTTCGCTAAGGCAATGGCTGACTTGTTGTCGACACAAACCTTGGTAGGCTCTTCTTGTATCAAACCAATCTCTTTCAATAGATTTCTAAGCCAAATTGCATGACAAACACATGAGGTAGTAGCAACATATTCCGCTTCACAAGTGGACAATGTGACAATCGGTTGTTTCTTTGACATCCATGTGAACGCAATATCTCCCATGAAAAATACGAATCCAGTAGTGCTCCTTCGATTATCTATGTCTCCACCCCAATCACTGTCGCTATATCCAACAAGCTTGTAATCATTAGAAACTGAATAGAACAAGCCAAAGTCAATTGTACCTTTCAGATAGCGAAGAATTCTCTTTGCGGCTTTAAAATGGGTGGTTGTTGGAGATTCCATGTAGCGACTAACCAATCCAACTGCGTGAAGAATATCGGGTCTCGTGTAAGTTAGATAGCGTAGACTTCCTACCAAACTTTTGAAGAATGTTGGATCTACACTTTCGCCTTCTTCATGTTTGGTCATCTTGATCCCGTATTCTGCCGGTGTGCTTATTGGCTTACAGTTCTCCATCTTGAACTTCTTCAGTATCTCCTTTGCATAGCTTTCCTGTGAAATGAAAATTCCATCATTTTGTTGCTTAACTTCAATGCCAAGGTAGTACGCCATGAGCCCCATGTCTGTCATCTCGAATTCTTTCATCATCACATCCTTGAATTCATTAAACATGCTTGGGTTACTTTCAGTGAAGATCAAATCGTCCACGTAGAGACACACGATCAAAATATCTTCATCTTTGATCTTGATATATAGAGCATGCTCGTAGGGGCATTTGTTGAAGCCATTCTCTTGGAAGTACTTGTCGATTTGGCTATTCCATGCCCTTGATGCTTGTTTTAGCCCTTAAAGAGCCTTCTTCAACTTCAACACCTTGTCTTCATGCCCTTTGACTTCATAGCCTGATGATTGCTGAATGTAAACTTCCTCTTCAAGAACTCCATTTAGGAAGGCGGACTTTACATCCATCTGTTGTATTTTCCACTTGTTTTGAGCTGCCAAAGAAATGATTAGTCTGATAGTCTCCAATCGAGCAACAGGAGCAAATACCTCATCATAGTCAATTCCAGCCTTTTGACTATAGCCTTTAGCAACTAGCCTCGCCTTGTGCCTTTCAATCTCTCCTTTGGCGTTTTGCTTTGTTTTGTACACCCATTTGACACATATCGCCTTATGTCCCTTGGGAAGTGAGGTAAGTTCCCATGTGTCATTCTTCTCGATGGCCTTGATTTCTTCATCCATCGCATCTCTCCATTTCTTTTCTTGTATCGCTTCTTGAAAGCTCACTGGTTCACAATCGGCAAACAGACAAAATAATGTAAGATTATCTTGTCGTTCAGTTACCTCATAGAGATCTCTAAGGCTTCTTGTGCGTTGCATAACTCTTTCATTTTGACTCCCACTTGACGATGACGAGTCTCCTTGAGTGGTTGATGTTGGTGAAGTGGGTGGAGTTGCAAGCTCTTGTTGAGATTCATCTAGTTGTTCCCTCATTGTCTGCTCATCTTCTTCAAACTGAGGAAAGAAATTGAAGTCATCTGTATGAGAGTTAAAATACCATTCTCCTTCTTCGTTAAAGACCACATCTCGACTAATCACAAACTTCTTATTGTTTGGATTGTACAACTTATAGCCCTTCGAATTTGCATCATAGCCGATGAAGATAAAACTCTCGCTTTTATCATCAAGCTTCGTTCTTCTCTCGTCTGGTACGTGAACATGGGCTATACTTCCAAAAGTTCTCAAGTGGGAAATTTCAGGCTTTCTTCCACTCCATGCTTCTTGCGGTGTCTTTCCCCATACATTTCTTGTTGGAGATCGGTTTGTCAAGTAGACTGCACATGCTACTGCCTCCGCCCAAAATTCCTTGGGTAGTTTCTTGCTTTTGAGCATGCTTCGTGCCATGTCGAGGATTGTTCTGTTCTTTCTTTCTGCCACACCATTTTGCTGGGGGGATCTAGGAACTGTCATTGGTCGACGAATTCCATTTGCTTCACAGAACTCTTGAAACTCCCTGGAAGTAATTTCTCCACCTCGATCGGATCTCATGACTTTGATCTTTCTACCGCTTTCTCTCTCCACTGCTGCTTTGAACTT